AGCGGGTTCATTTGCTTTTCCTCTTCTGTAAATGAAGAGTTCACAGCCATCTCATAGATCCTGTAAGTTCCTACACACAAAAAGTGCAGCCACTTGGCTACAGTTAAAAAATCTCCAGGAGCAATGGTGCCACTTGTAAGATCTGTGTTCTTGATTTATACTGCTTGTGAACAGGAGAATCCCGCTGCAGAGGCTGGCTGGGTGTCACAAGAAAGCCCTGTGGCCACCCCATCCCCCTGTCCTGCCACCGCCACCCTTCTGTGACCTCATCTGCACCTTCCAACTCCGAGGGGTTACATTCAGTGCTGGAAACCCCGTTGCTCTGGGATCCCATCGACTCCCAGAGAACAGATGAGATCTTGGCTGTGAGACTCCCCCAGATGTGTCAGAAAGTCGTGCCAGGTTGCCAGTAAGGGTTCTTCTCTCGAGTTCGTATTCCAGTCCGTACTATTTCATGAGAAAGCCAGACTGCAGCAGTTACAGTCTTAAAGGAGATGAGGATTAAAGGAGTGTATTCGCCTTACTGATCTTGAACAGATTCAGACTTCTCTACTGCCAAATTCCCCATCCATTCAGTAATAAAGCATGGCTTGTAAACATGTCAGCACTTAATGGGGCCTCGAATCAAGTACTCATTCAACCCACCAACTATTGTTGGTGCCAAAATTGGTTCAGTACTTACTATTTTACATAATTTATACCGAGGACTCTTTCCTAAGGGCCTAAACCCAGAACTGTAACAGAAAAGGCTTTCTGATAAAGGTTGAGCAGAACAAATATATACACTTTCCATTATGGGTGATGGCCAGTGAACATAATGTCCTGTAAAGATTTTGAAGTTTATGTAGCCTACACAGTGTAATACAGGCTATACAGAGAGGAAAAAAGAGTTCATTTCCCCAAGGATAGGGTGTTTCTAGTGGTTTTGTTCCCCTAGGTTCTACATAAACCTCTCAAGTAGTCCAGTCATTAGAAGCCATGGTAGGGTTATATTTGGATATAGAACAAAATGCCGCAAAAGCCAGTGGTTTGACCCTAAAGCAGATGACCATTGTCAGCTTTGATTTTATTGCCAAAGTTTGTAAATATTTTTTCTAGTGTAGGCAAAACAACTGTGGCTGTCTGGATACTTGCTTGTTTGTGGCACCAACTAACATTCTCTGATTTCAGTCTGATTATCCCAGTGTGGGTTGGGTCTGAAGATACTTTCTTAGATCTTTCCTTTTAAAGAACAGCCTTGTTTTAAATGCCCCAGTCATCAGCCCTTAACGTTGCAGATCTTTCCTCTGGAGAACACCCTCCATTTTCTGACTAGAAACCAGTGACGGTTCCAGAAGTTTGCTTACTGCAGCAGGAGATGGGAGACCACAGTCCAGTTTCATGCTTTGCCAGAGACATCTGTGGGACTTGAGACAAGTCACTGCCGTCTATTGTCCATGGTGTTCTGTAACTGGAGATTTGAAAACGAGACTGGTGGGATTATTATTTATATACGTTAAAACATCAGCTCAGATCCTAGCTGTGGACACCCATTGTGCTAATCACCATACCCAAATGGGGCAAGAGGCGGGGTTGTCCCTGAAAAAGTGTTTTACCCATGAGACAGCAAGCTGATCACCATCAGGGGAGAAGTTAGGCAGCGCTTATCAGTGCAAAAGGCAGGGATGACATGATTCTTGACTTCATTGCAAGTGCCCATCTCAGAGATTGGAGGAAGGCTACTGAGATCACACATTAGAAGTGTGTATTTGGTGTAAAAACCTGTAGCAGTGCTCAGTTTGATGTGTTTGCCTTTAGGTGTTGTACACATTGGAATGTGGAATGAAGCAATACATTAAAAATGTGGACTTCAACCAGGATTTCTCTTTTCATATGAAACTGTCTGGTTTCAACATGTGACAGGCCTCAACTTCCAAAGGCCACGGTGTGCTCACAGCTGGGTGAGAGGGGGTGGTTTTGCAGAGCTGTGATGAGCTGTGAGCAGCACACCCAGGGAGGGCATACTCCCGCACTGGTACATCACCCATCCCCAATGGCGTTTGTCCACATAGAGCTTGCGCGTGCTGCAAAACTTTGACTGTCATCACCTGTGTTTGCAAAGCCTGTGTAATTATTAACTCATCTGGAGCAAATGGGAAGCTCGGTGGCTTTCCAGGGCAAAAAAGAATGCATGGAAATTGTCCTTTCTGTTTGGATTTCTCGAGAACAGGGGGTGAAACCTTTTGTTTGAAAACACAAATTTCGGGGGGGGGTGCCCAGGAAGCTGCCGTCACCCTGCTTAGGGTCACAACGCCTGACCCGCCCGAGCACAGCGGTGCTGTCGGGCCCCG